AGGCAATCGACAGCTCAATAAAACACCGTAAATCAAGACTGTCGGATGATTCAAAAAGGGTACAATGTCATGTGTTTTACGCTTTCAATAAACGGCTGTTCCTAAAGTTCCCAACCGCAGAGCATAGCATCGCCTACTTTTGCAACATCTTTCGACATTTCAAGCAAACACATAACTATATAGAGGTGTATATATGCGCTTGCATTGCCGGCTATAAAAGTGCAAGTATAGGTTATTTACTCTTGGTTTTTGTTGCTTTTCTGTTCAATTAACACATTGCGGTGAATGAGACTGCCCATATATTGATATACCTATGTACGTATGAGTCTACACAAACATTTATATATGTGCAGAAATCGAAGTGTGACATCCGCTCTCAGTTAAATAAATAAAGATGAATATTCGGAAAGGAAGACAGTTTTACATATCTACATTGCAATGAGTCAAGCCTTCTTTTTTCGAGCACACTGTAGCGCTAACAACAGGCACCGATATATATACAAGTATTTATGGTTCAGAGCACTGAAAAAATTATAATCCAATTCGAAGTCTGGGAACAAATGCTTTTTTGTTTACACTTTTGCACAATTGAAATATTTTTAGTTTGCTTCTGTACTGTATTCTTTATTTAATTTATTTTTACTGAAATACATTATTTAATGTTAATTATATATTTTATTTGGTGTTTATTTTATTTGCAGATAGACTAGCTGTGATAATTATTGGAATAGTTACATTAATTTTAGGAATATTGCTATCAACAATACCATGGTTGAATTATTTTATATTAAAGGTGAGTAAGAAAATCTTTAAATTAAAAATATATGTTTGAGCAGCCTAATAACTTTTTAAAATTTGAAATTTATTGGAAAAAAAAACATATTGTTTCAAAAGTGAAATACGGTATGAAAGAGCTTTAGGGAGTATACTTTACGAAGAAATCAATTATATGTGTACCACAAATCATTCAGTGGGAGTCGGGAGATTGTAGAAAGTTGTTATCTATAGTATCGATGATAGCCTCGATAATATTTTTCAGCATTTTTTGAGAGTCGTAACAACCCATTTCAACCAAGGAGCATCCAGAATATGGTCTAAAAACATATTTACCAGCGAAAAGCAAACCAAATTTACGCTCATTCTCCCACCAGATATAGCTAGATTTTAGCATCACTAAGCACTATACGGATCAGTACATATGTATAACATAGCTTAAATTAAATAAATCTTTTTGTAATGAAATTAATATTGGATTTTAATAGCCTCAAGAAAATAATTAAAATTATCTACATTTTAGTATTGACAAATAAACTATTATTTGATATACAATACTTCTATTATTTAATACTTAACCGCTTTATATCTTGTTTTCAGAATTTAAGGCTATGGAATGATACGTTAAGTTTTCATTACTGGCAGCGACCAGGTGTCGTACGCTTAACTAAAGTCTATATATATAATGTCACAAATCCCGATGGTTTCCTGCAAGGAGAGAAACCAAGATTGACGGAAGTGGGACCATTTGTTTATAGGTAAGTAAAATTGTATTCACATAGGACTGATATATTTCAACTAGTTATACAAATTAAACAATCCTCTTGCACAAAATTAATGTGAGGAAGCAATAATAATTATATAGTCATTTCAATAAATGAGAGAGCCTGTAAATACCTTATTAGAGTTTGAATTTCTTGATTGGCTGCTCTTCGAAGTTTTTGGAACCTTAGATGGCTATTCTTGATTATCCACGTTCGTTCGATTGCCACTTTTCAAGACTTCATAAAATGAATAGAGAATGAAAATATTATAATTTTTTGGAATAACCGGTTGGAACTGGTTACGAAACTGAAAAGGGTTTGGTTGATCATTTATAGTGGCTAGAGAAAGTATTGCCCGATTTTACGCATTTTAAACACGGAGGCACATTATTATCAGTTATGATCCGATTCTGACCAATTTTAGACTTGAGATATGCAAAGCTGTATCGCGATATATTCGTTGGTGCTTGATTGGTATACTGAAAAGTCAAAGAAGCAGATGGAATTTAAAATTGGGTTATATTGGAAGAAGGCATGGTTGTGGTCCGATTTCGCCTATTTTCACACAATTACAAAGGAATGTCAGGATAACGTTAAGTAGCTGAATTTGGTTGAAATTTGCCGGCCCGGAGATATGGTATTTTATCTAAAGTTTAGTATTCAATTTTGATGCCAGCTCCTGTGAAGCCCTTTCATGCTACCTTAGGCATGATATCACGATACCTCAATTTTTGCTTGAGTTATCGCTTGCACGAACAGACGGACGGACGAATTGACAGTTACGTATCGTGATCCTGATCATTTTTATATCTCAATTAATTTTAGGTGATACAACCGTTAGGTGAAAAAAAAACGATTATACTCTTTGTTCAACATGTTGCGAGAATGTAATCAGCAGAAAAAACAAAACCTTCGGATGATATGTCTACACGTTACGAATGCAGCCACTTTGAAAAATGAACTTTTGAGAGAAACGTTTTTAAAAATACACTTTAAAAGAATGTTTTTGAAAAAATATTTTAAATATTCATTTAAAATTTTAGTACATTATGTTTATAGGATATATGCATGAAATTCGACTTTTTCCAAATTACACTTAGTTGACCCTACTTTTAAATGCGTATGCCTAAAGAACTTACTAGAACTAAGCACTGTAAAAGGTTTTAACCTTGTTCTACGTCTAGTTATATTTAATATTTATATTTTTTAGAAGGTTTGCAATAAGAAAAAAAATTAATTAATATTTGTCTACTTTTTTGCTGCTCTCCACTCTATTTGCGTCAAAAAATATGACTTTCGTTTGACTTTTAATACATGTGTGCCTAATTGTTAGGCTGGCCTTTATTTGGAGCACTTCTATTCACCTTTGTTTCGGAAATTTTTCAGTTAAAGTCACTGAACTAGTATTTTCGTACTTATATGACTTGCTATTTTCGGCAGAAAAAGTATACAAACAGGCATTAGGCCTCTAATAATTTCTAAACTGAACGTTGTTGAATTTTTGGAGACATATTAAAATGCATTTATGACCAAAGTGTGTTTAGCAATGCTCTTATGAAAAGTGTACAGTACATATGTACATAGTAAAGCAAACTCATATGAGTTTATGGATATGGACTCGTGTGTGTATGTGAGTAAAGCAAGCGTTAAAAACTTTAGCAAATGAAATGCTCAACTTGCGTTATTAAAAGTGATAAAAGCGCTGAAAGCACGGAACGCCTAATAAGCAGCAACAAAATATAGGTCAATTAAAATTACAGTGTATTGGCAATAATTGCAATATTTTAAGTAAAAATGTGCGTATGCATTTTGCTGCTATTGTTGTTGCTGTACATTGCAACAGAAATGGATAGAGTTACTGAAAGTTGCACATGTTGCAACAGCGGCTTTTCGCCAACGCCAGCGAAAATATATTTTGTAAATAAAGTTATGCATTTATTACTACGCTTTGCTTACATACCTATGTATGTAAATTAGGGTGCTTCAAAAGAAATTTTTATTTTTTTTTTTTTCAACTTTCAACTTCTCAAACGTTTCTATTTGATGGAAAATAATTGAAAACGTTAACTTCGATTGCACCGAAGCTATAATAACCTTCAGGGGTTTATGGTTTCTTTACAAGAATTTCATTTTGATCGATCAGTTTGAGTGGCAGCTATATGCTACAATGGTCCGATCTGAACAATATATTCGTAAATTGAAGCCTGGAACAATAATACATACTGAATTTCGGGAAAATATCAGGTAAAATAAAAACAAATGTTCATACAAGAACTTGATTTTAATATTTCAGTTTGTACGACAACTGTATGTTAGTATACTGGTCCGTTACCGGCGATTACGACAAATGAGCAGCTTCTTGAGGAGAAAAGAATGTGTGCGAAATTTGAGAGCGATATCTCAAAAATGAGGGGAAATCGCTCTGAAAATTGAAATGACTGGCAGACGGCACAGACAGCTCGACACGCTGATCATTTATATATATATTTTGTAGGTTCTGCGACGTTTCCTTCTGGGTGTTACAAACTCCTGAGAAAAGTGTAGGCACTTAAAAATTACAAAATCTTGAAATTTCGAGAATTTAAGTTAAAGATAATTACAGGCAATCATATCTATAAGACTCATGTATGATGAGAATTCTTTTACATCAAGTAGAAAGATTTGAGAAAGTAAGAGTTGAAAAAAGTTTGTTTGTTAAATTTTGAAGCACCCTAATGTATATACAATATAAGTGGTGAAAAATATTAACAATTTTCTGTCATAAATGGTTTCGTGTCATATTTTTGTAGTTTGAGCATTTTCAGTAACTTTTACTTAATTAACTTAAAAAGTTTCCTTGGTAATATGATTAGCAAATGTTTCCGAAAAAATTGCAAAAAATTTTAAATATTATGCGGTGTTGTCTTTTCTTTTTTTGTATACTTGAAGATTTTCCCAATAATATATCTAGTAGCTGTTTAAAAAAATAATAATTTCTAGAACTTTGTAACTCTCGAAAATGTTCTACATTCTTGTGGGGAAGCTGCTTAAAGGTGGATTCATTGCTTAGTCTGAATGAGTTCAAGTGTACGATATTAGTACTCAAATATTTTTGCTCAATCTTTAAACATTTCCTGCACATTTTCGAAAAACAAACAAATATGATTTTTCTTTTTTTTGTTAACACATATTCAATATTATTTCTAGAATATATTTGTTTGTATAAGTATATAATATAGAGACACACTCCTAAATCTAAGCTGAATTTCCTCACCATTACCACCACAATCTACATTAGCTAACCCCACCACTCACTAAAAACAATTTTGTATTACCAACAAATTTTCCAGCTACAACTCAAGGTCATTTGGGTTAGTAAAAACTTGTTAATAAGGTGATTAAAAACTCATAAATCTTAAGGTTATTAATATTAATTATAACATAAGGCGTTGAGCCCATAATTGTTTGCTTAAATTTTTAAATACCATGATATTAAACTGTAATGAAAGCACACTAAGCTATAAATGAATGAAAAATTGTAAAATAAGCAGTAAAAGCAATATTCGTTAAAACCATTTTTCATCAATTAATTCGTAAAGCAGCATAATTTTTACTCTATTTTGGGGGTATATAATTCGTAACGAGTACGCGTGCCAAAAACATTGATTAGAATTAAAAAATCAAGTTAGTGGCGGAGCACAACCTCACAGCTTTTAAAATTTACTAATGTTTCTTTTATAAATACGCAGCACTTTAAGCAATAAAATAGAGTGTTTTGGGTAAATAGCACACTAAAGGAACGACACTTGTTTACTCGTAGAATTTATATGTAGCACCAGTTAACGGTCATATAAATTGTAGTCAAAGGTTTTCTTCTACGTCTGTTTATTACGTTTTTATCTAGCGTAGTTTTCCATCAAATGCATTTCAAAATAGCTACGGGACAATATATTCATAATATCTGCTCCAATCATTCTTTATCCCTATTAAATCAGTGGTAGTGGCTGTAGTAATTATAAAGTAATCACTCTGGTATCGTTAGCACCATTATACACCGCACATACATACAAAGTCAGCCGGAAGAACAGAAATCAGTTCGATAGCACTCAAGGAGAAGCTTCAGTTATTTATATTCTAAAATATAAATATAAAATAATTCTCGAAAGAGCTGGAAGAGATGTGATTTTGATCAGATTTTTAATATTTACAATATTTCCTAAGGAACATCAAGGGAATTAATATTCCCCAAATTCAAGTCAAGTCAAGTTTATTACATAAGAAATTTCACTCAAAAGTAGGCAGTGGCACAAAGAATAATTAAAATATATAAAGATGTGTGGGTGTTCTAAAGAGTTTTTGAAATCCTATAGGTATAGCTGTCAAACCAGCTAACAAAGTCAACTGATGTGTTTGACATTTGTGTGCAATATTCTTTTATATTGCAAACGGAATAATAATCAGCTTTAAAACAAGCAGGAAATAATTTCCAAAACTAACCTTCTGCGATTAGGAAACCGAAACGGTTTAATTGGTAATTTGTTAAACTGAAGGAGTGAGCAACGACATGACACTGAGGGAACCTTCTCAAAGCTCTTTGTGTAAACCAGAGACACAGCTCTTATAGAATTAGTTACTCTAAGAAACTAAAAAACTTTGTCATATAACAGAATATACTTCCTTTTAAAATTGTGATTTTCGTTTATAGTCTGAGAATAGTAGATAAAATTTATGGGATTACGTAGAACAAAGTACAACCGGGCTTACTTGAAGTTTGCTATTAAAAGTTTTTCAAAAATCTAAAAATATAGTTCTAGTCGTTAGTATCCTTTCAAAACATATCATCATTTTCTATTTTTTTCTATCTCCTTAGTATAAAAACTAATGCAATTTGAAAAAAGTGGATGTTGAAATTTAAGACTAAAATTCAATTCCCAAGAGTTTATTTACTAATCGAACATTTTAGTTCTAACTTCGTGGAATTTGTGGAAATAACGTTCATTTTCATATCTATTAAG